AATATAAGACTATTTATAGTACAACTGTAGTGTTACAAAGTATAAATTTATCTGATGTAATTGTAGAATTACAAATGTTCTCAATTTTCGGCATTATGGAGGCGTGTTAAATCATAAAAGCAATTTTACCACAATTTTTCTTCAATGTGTCATATTTCAACAAATAACAAAATCACCATTTACAGTGTGCAATTAAAAAAATTACGAATGGAATGGAATTCTTCATATCCTGAATATTTCACTTGGTTAATACGAATTGTCGTAAAGTAACTTAAGAATTTATTCAGGTAGACGTTACTTTTACTTAAATCTGAAGGATATTTTCTCCCAGATGCTAATTACAGGGTCTGTTGATTAGGAGGGTGATAATTTAATTAGCTCGGTCCACTGAGGATGCCCCCTGGATTGGTCAGACTTGATTATGTTAGGAGGGGCTTTGATCTTATAACTGTTACATCACCAGGGGAGCTAACTGTCCAGTTCATGCAGGACAGTTCTACCAGAAATAAGCAGCTTATTGTCTGAGGATGATGAAAATAATTTCATGTGTTTCCAAAATAAACTGTTTATTATAATGTTGAGAGATCAAAGGAGAAGAGACCTTATGTTGTTGTGTACAGAGAGATTTGATATGTTTGGGTTTACTGTATAGTATACTCTGCAAATACAATTAACTGTGATACCAGTAGTTCAATGAATATAACTTTTCTTAAATTCTCTATGAATAATGGCTTTTGTGTGTGGGCAGGTTTTATTTTATCCTTATTTGGTGTTTTACACAGTTTGTTCATAAAATAATATTTAAGACTCTTGAAAAAGAAAGTGGTTTTAATCTTATAATTTAAAAGCATAAAATGACAACTAACATTTAGGAATGGCTCTCTGTTCTTTATTGTCAGGGAAAAAACAGAAGCAGTGATATAATAATGTAGGAGACCTGAATTGGTTTTAATTAAGGCTGTTACATGAAGTGTTTAAGTACTTGTTAGCCTGGTATCTCTCTATAGTCACTGTAACTAGCTAGATTCGGAGGTGGATCTTATAGCCCTCCTCTAATCTTAGCCAGTGTTTGCTCTTCTCTCTATCACATCTTAGGGACTCGCAGCTCTAAAGAGCTTTTCCATGTATGGGGTTACTGAAAAATAAAATGCTCTTGTCATTCCAAATTGTAATAAAACATCTCTGTTGCAGTAACTACCAAAGATTTGGTATTGATTTAGCTAATTCACTTAGGCTTTTAACTGGCCCTGAATGGGAGAGCTCTGCTTTAAATCAGGGCCTCTTGTTTGTGTGGCAGAAGTTTTAAATGTGTGAAAACTTCGGCACAGCATCCAAGTGAAACAGCCCTTAATGGCCTAACTTTGCAAGCCTTTGGACACATAAATAAAAAATATAGAGAAAGGTTAATAAAGTAGACCAATTTATGGCATTATATAATTACTCTAAAACAAAGGGTTTTTTTTGAGTGTTTGGAGGATGGTTATAAAAATGTTAATTCCTTTTGAATTTTGCATTCCCTTACATAAGGTAATGATCTAGTCACTTGTCATCTTGTTCGGTGTATCATGCAGTGGTTAAAGCAAAGCGGGGGATAGCCAGCAACAATTTAACAATGATGTGGACCTGTCACTCTTTTGTGAATATTAGTTGTACTCACTGCAGTGTAATATTGGGCATCACAAGCACCTGTTATAGCGTATATTTATATCTAGGTTAAGTACTATAAATCTACAGACCTCTTGTAGGTGGTTAAGTTCTTGTTTTATTTCCACGTGTTTAGAGGTACAGAAAGGGAGATTCTTTTTGCTACAGAAAATAAGGATTTGTTTTCAATCTTTGTATTCTGAAAAATCATTTGTTTTTTTACTTTAATTGCTTGCAATTAAAAAAATATCCCCTTTTGCTCTTTTATCTTTCCAAAGGACATGAGAATATTGAAAGAATTCGAAGGAAGATTTATTTTCATGAAACCTAAAAAAATCTTGGAAACATTTTTTGAAGTTTTTTTTTCACCTGAATTGCCTGTATATAATATAAGAGAAGATACTCTGTGATCTCGGTACGGCTTGCCGGCTTGTTGTCTGTAACACCTGATGATGCACACCAAGGAATGTTAGGCTGCTGATGTAAATATAACTAAAAGATACCTGTATCTATGTAACCAGAAAATATTTGGCAGGTGTGATATCCAGAAAGGTGATTCAGGAGGGGTCCAAGGAGGGAGAAATGGAAACTCTATCTCGGGGAAAAGAGATAAGATTAATTAAAGACCGAGGTCTAAAATAAAAAAAAATCTGAATTATCGTGAGGGTAATAAGGTTTTGTTTTTATCTTAATTTGATTAAGACTTTACCTGCATACAAGGTGAGTGTGGGGCCCTGTAGGGGGTCTTGGCATCACCTGTGTCTGGCGTTGGTGCTGTGGAGAGGTGTATTGAGTTTTCTCTGTACCTGTGAGAACCTGGGCTTGTTATCATTGCTGGGGTAAAAATTTGGCTCCGCTCCGAACAGGTATATAAAACAAAGATTCCAGTACACACCTTTTCATCCCAAGCTTCGGTTGTAAACAGCCAACATGGGTGAGTGTCTTAGAGGTGCTTCATCTGCAGGTTTGTCTTCTTCTCCATTTTAGATGTATTGAGATAGGTTTATTACTTGTTAGATGATGACCGTGCAAGTTTTATTGTACCTTATATTTCTGTTGAAATATTATTCACTAAGAATTTTACAGGGATAGTATACTGCTAATTATTAAACAACCTTAGAATTTGTTATATTTAAAGATGAAATGTCTTTGGCTGCTGAAGAATTTTCACATAAATGTATCAAAGAATTGTTTTGCTTGTAATTGATGTGGATGCTGGTAAACATTAAAAAGCCAACAACCAATTTAACCTTTGAACTGTTTATAAAATAATGGAACATATATCAATTTAAGTATATACTAATACAAATCCTATAATTGCCCTCGAGGATGCATGAGGCTGTATTTTAGTAGAAATGACCCATTGCTCAAAAATTCAAACTGTGCAGAAAAACATGATTGAAATCAAAATATGATCAGGGGGCATAACTCATCTCTAGCTCTGAAGTTGGTAAAAAATGCACACTTTGTTGCTCTCTTGCATTGAATTCCCCTTAACAACAAGAAAATAATTGGATTAAGAAATGGACAATGCCAAAATAAATTTGACCAATGGTATAGTTTATTATCCAATTATCTACAAAATGCTCCTAAAATGAATCATCATTAAAAATTTCCTGAAATGAAAGTCACTGATGCATGTGATGGTGAGCACCACTACCTTCTAACGGGGCAAGTAATTGTGATTATTGTCCAGTTACCATTAGTGTGATGGGGAGTTTGTAGTTATTGATAGTCCATACAGACCACAGGTTCACGTCCTAATGATAAACAGAATCTAACAAGGTTAGAGATATCACCAAGGGTTGGCACTGAAATTTTCTATAGAATTTGATTTTTTACGGTTCCTGATAAATCTGTAGAATTGGTTCTATTTTTTTTTATTTTCTCCTTAATTGAAAATCTAAAGTCCATCTGTCTCTTTTAAGTTTTCTTTATTTTGTTTAGTTTCTCTCTCTTGAAAGTAGTTTTAATGAAATGAGTTTGAGAAATTGCAAAAGTTAATGTATCTACTAATGAACATTTTCACAGCATTGCATAATTTTCAATCTGAATGACAATAAAAATTCAGGAACCGTTTCCCGTGCTGGCTGTTTTCCGTGATCGGTTTTGCCCGTGATGGTTCTGTCCTATCCTGGGTCTCAGGCTCATGACTGATCTATCACCTCAGTACAATAAAGAAAATGAAAGCCTCCATACAAATAATCAATACTTAGGATTGCTGCAGTTCTTATGACATTCCACTTTTGTGTGATAGATCTTATAGAAAGTACGTACAAGAGGGCCCCAGGGATAAAATTACTTCTAATCGGAAGACTCTTCTCCATCAATAGATACCTAGCATTTAATTTGTCAGTTCAATGGGTTTCGTGACGTTTAAATGTTGCAGGATTATTAAATAATGTATATTTCAAATTTTAAAAGAACATTGCAATAAAAAAATTTTGTTTTTAATTTCTATAACAAAAAAAGTTAATAAAATTGCTTCATATTTCTTGTAGAATGTAATGATTTAATAAGCCCCTCCCATCCTATAATCCTGAGAATAAGCCATTCAGGTAAAAATGACAGGTGAGATAAAACTCCGCCCCTGTCATTTACATGTGTACTAGGAATCGTTCTCAGGTGAGAGACTCCACCCGTAAGTCAATAGAGTTCATGGCTGGGTAGCTCCGTCCACACCTTCCAGTTCTCGCTACATCTGTTGTGACTTAGGCCTGCCTTAAATCAATACAACATCATAGACCAATCCAGCCAGGTGTTAAAATCTGTAATTACACATTACAAACTGACAGGAGGTCTTAATTGGTTTTATGCTAATGATCGCCCAGAGTTTGTTTAGAGAAGGCTGGGTAGATGAAGATGCCCTGGCTTTATGTAAATCAGTTTTATCAAGGTAGCAAAGAGAGGGGAATTATTACAAAAAGATACAGTTAGGTTTTTCTGTGGATGCAGAAAGTTTGATGTTTATACAAAGCTGATAATCTGACTCCAGGGTTTGTTGTAGCAGGGACCTTCATTTGAAAAATTCTGATAAGAAGAAAACCTAGCATGTCTCTCCAATGTCCATGTGTTTTGAATCACTCAATTATTTAGAAATTTATGGAATGGTATATGTCAGTTTATTTATGTTAAAGATTAATACCATTTCTTATTGAGAGGTTTCTAGCATGTAAAAAAAAAATACATAAAGAAAATAAATGGCCATTAATTTTGGAGATTTTTGTTTGGTGATTTGGCTGATTACCTGGCAGTTCCCCGTGTGGGGCCCCCTTACAACCTTATCAACCTAGCTACCGTTGGCTGCGATTGGCTGCCGGCTCTGATGCTGTTTAGGTGATATTAATTATGTTCAGTAGTAGCGTAAAGACAAGGTGAATTAAAAGAAGGTGGACCCTCAATATTAATTTATCTCACCTGGTGCCAGCCAGGGAATCAGATGGGTTGGGTCAGGGAAGTCTGTATCAGGCTCTTGTAAGCTTTAGATTGTGTTGATAGAGAAGAGAGGTGACCCTGTGTATACCTGATGTAGGAAACATGCTGAGGGATTTTTATAATATTATAATGGGCTTTGGTAAGTCAGATGTCACATAAAACTGTTTAAAAATGAGTAACTTTTGTAAAAAAAAATATGCTTTTTATTTTGTAAGGTTTTTAGGACATTGATTTTCTGTTAGTTGATGTAATTTGTATGTATACTACTGGGAATATTTTGTTTACATGTGTAGAGACAGTTAATATTTTACATTTAACAAAACCAGAAAAACAGGAGATTTGAAGATTTTTTTAATGCCATTTTTCAAATTAGAAAAACTCTGAATATGCATAAGAAATAAGAGATTTGAGAGAGAGAAATAGAGAGTCAGAGAAGAGGTACCTAAAACAAAGAGCATCAGTATCAGGGTGAGTCACTCAGAGATGAAGAAACGAGATAAGGTGTGGGTCACATGTTTTGGAAAGGAAAACCGTAATGGCGTATGTCTCATCACAGTGTGGAGGGAAGACCGATTAACTGAAGCCCTGGGGAGGGAAGGCAAGGGTTACAAAAGTCCTCAGGAGGGAAGACATTTGGAGAGGGCAGTCCATTTGGCCAGTGAATATGGGGGTTATATTTTAAGCTTACTGTAGAATTGCTAAAGTTTGTGGGCCCAATTTCTTGGATTGCTTAAATTTAACAGGTTCTTTATTCAACTTTAAAATCCAGCCACCACAACATTTTAATGATTCTACCTTGTCCATTCCTTCTTGAATGAAGTAAAATTTAGCATTGAATTTATTGAATTTATTTTTAAATTCTCTTCTAAGTAGGTTCAAAGTCAATATAAGTGTTTATTATTTTTTTGTATGATATTATAGTTTTGTTTTGTTTTTTTTACCCAAAGAGGTATCTTTCAAGATATGGGTAAACGTTTGGTGTCATTATATGTAAGAAGCAGCTATTCTACAATAAGAAGATTGTTAGTGGACATAAGTGATTCAAATAAAATATACAGTACCGATAAATTGACTTTTTGTGTTCAACTGTTAAAAAACAAAAGGAATAAATTAAATTAGATGACAGGTTAGTTTAAGGTATAAACATGGATAAATAGCATTGACTGACACTTACTTGTATGCCTAGAATAAAATTATTCAAATGCAAAAACGTACTGTACAGTTTGAAATATTGGCTCGACAGAGTAGCATAGATTGTGGAGTAGGGTGAGACAACTCTTTGTAATTATTTAAAACCTACCAAGTGGCCTAAGTGTGTGATCACAAGGCTGTGAAATAATCGGTAATTTTTTATTTGTTTTCCTGTGAAATGGCGAGTTTGATACAATAATCAGAGATCTAATCGGGGATTAATGGCCCACAGTTAACAGCATAAGGTTATTGTTGACGGGGATTTTAACTGATGTTCGTGTATCAGGTTTCCGTAGAGATGCAGGTGAATGTTCAGTCCGTGGCTCGTGTTAGGAAAATAAAACAGACGTAAATGCTGGTTTACCGCTAGACAACCACCATACTCGGAATCATCTTCCCATTACCCTTCTCCGCAGTCAGGTGCAGATTCCGCAATAATTGTTTTAATGTTAAAAAATTATAATTAATTTATATCAGAAATTGCTACAAATTATCCCATTGTTCTTTTGCAAAAAATGACAGGATAATTTTTCTCGTATTTGTAATTTGATTTTTATTGCAGTGATAATAATGCTAATAGTCGTATGACATAGTTTGTAAATGTAACGGCAATTACATGTTACGATCACCGTGTTGTGACACAGTAAACCCTATTATTATTGTGATTAAAAAAGTGGTACAACTTTTGCAAAAGTCTTTATTGTTGATACAGTTATGGTCTGCAGGTGTATTTCATAGCTGGAATGTAAGATCATGTCCTTATCCCAGTAAAAACCTGTATATTTTAATTGATTTTAAGGAAACAATTATTCTAAATACAAATGATGTATTAGCTAATACTATATGATATATTTTTGGCTAGTTGAAAAATAGAAATATCAGGCCCAAGGATCGTGTGACAGATTTGAGCTAAATTTTCAATAACTTGTGAAATGTTTATAAATTATCAAAATAAAATTAAACTCAGAATTTGCAGCTTAAAACCTAATCATTTTAATTTTAGATAGGTCAGCTTAACTTGTATAACATTTAAGTAATGATAAAAAGATTTTGAAGAAAGTTTAATAAGATATTTATGATCCCATGGCCTAAAATATTAAAAAATGAGATTTTTTCTTATGTTTAAAATTCTCAATTTTTTACTGTAACAAATTGTAGAAAAAATGCTACAAAATCACTTATACTGACATTATTATTAAGAAATCTTGAAAGAACTATTGGAGTCCTTTTTGCTTAACTTATTACTTTTTACTTACATGAACATTGATTTATTTTTTTGGAGAAAAAAAAAAGGGTTAGTAAAAGTGTTGATGTATGAATTTTGAGATGATGCCATAAATTTGCTTAAGTAATGTTAATAAATGAATCATGATTATTTTAAAAGTAGTATGAGACAACTTTTATATGAAAAGTTTCTGTTATTTTTTTTTACTGCCCTTTGAACAGTTGAGGGGTATAAATCTAGTTGAGGAGTTATTAAGTTGTCTTGGTATTGTGTGATCTGTCATATTAAAACCCAGGGAACAGATGTGCAGGAAGTTACTATTCAGGGTAATGCACAGTCCCTGTTACAAGTAATAATCATTAATTCCCTCCTTCTATTATCATGACTAAAATTAATGAGGCAGTTATGAATGGTACAATGGAGTAGTGTAGTAAGGGAAGTAACTCTTACAATTCTCTCTTTCTAGTTGAAGATGAAGTGAGTGATATCAAAAGAAAAGAAACAGCATCCACAACTATTGGTAGAAACCATGACCACACTGGTAGCCATGACAACAGTCTCCATGACAAAGTGGACCTGCCAAACAAAGGTTAAATTTTACGTAAAATTTACATACTAAATAACAAGAGCTGACATTTTAAAAAAAAAATTTGTTAAAAGGTATTTTTAAAGCATAAATAGAAACAAAAATCAACTGTTTTAAAAGGTATTTTTATAGCATAAATAGAAACAAAAGTCAACTGTTTTATTTTTTTTCCACAGAAGAAAACTCTACAGCTGATTCTCAGATAAAGCCTATTTTGTCAGATGACAAAGAACCTGGATCCACCACACAGAATCCGTCTTTGAACAAAGAGAATTCAGAGAAAAGGGTAGGTTACTGTTAAAGCACATTGCGATTATACTGCAATATCAAAAAATTCATTGACTGAATGACATAAATAAAATCAATGTAAAGTTATTCAAACTTTAATGAAATAAAGTGATAAAACTGAATTAATTATAAATGGTAGTGTTGCTTTAAAGTACTAGTAAGTTATTTGATAACGTTTTAAGTTTTGACTTTGTGTAATGACAGGAGGAGGTGACGTCAGTTGTGTTGCCATGTAAACAGCCGTCCTGTGTGACCAATAGTAGTGCTGAGGAGGACAAGATTCAGGAGTACCTGAACCGCAGTGACACTGCAGTCATCTACCCCGAGCCTGTCGGTGATCACGAGGCCCAGGAGGCCGAGGCCAATGTCCCAGAGACTGAGGAGGAAGATGAGGAGAGTCGTGACAATGGTCAGTATTAACTAAGGTTGAAAAAAATTCTCCCTTTCTGAATAATATCAATGTTCACAAAAAAAAAAATTTGATATTTGGACAGACACTCTGTTGCATTTCATGGGTCCAAATGAATTTTAAGCAAAAATGTTTTATAAGTCGAATAACAAGGTTTTTGAAAAGTTTGATTGGATTGTTTGTAATGAACTGAGGACCTATCACCTATTATTTTCATAAAAAGATATGTAATAATACAAAATCTTTAAAATAAAAATAAAATTAAACAACTATAATAACTTTTTCAACAGAAACTGTAAACCAACTTTTATTCGTGTGTTAGTTATGCTCCTTGGACTTAGAAAAATTCCAATTATTTGCAGTTTCTGTTCATTTTCTTTGAAGAGGTTACACATACTAAAATGAAATTCAGCATTCAGATTTATCATTAAAATATGTAGGTCTAGATCTGTTTCAGTTACCATCCAGCCATTTTTGGCAGAGTTATGTCTCTTGGACTTAGAAGAATTCCAATTATTTTTGAGGAGGGGGAGTGGGGCATAAGTGTTTTACAAACATCTCTTGATAATATACATGCGGCTGTTTTCTACTATAGTTTTTGTATGACCATGATGTTCTTAATACAATTTACTAATGCATGAAATACGACACTGCCATTCTTTTCATAACATAAGAGTCCTAATCTCTTCTACATCTATGTCACTGAAAAAAAAATTAAAGAAGCTTTCAACAATTATTTAGAAATAAATAAAAATTATTTATTCCAGCCTTTGACAGATTTTTTGTTATGTTTACAGATGCTATGTTGGAGGAGGACATTGTTCTGAAGTGTATGTACTGCAGTCAGTCCTACTCCAGGATCCCAGTCCTCAGGGAGCACATGAGGTCCGCCCACCCAGACAAGCCCGTCAGGTTCCAGTGTCCAAAGTGTGAGGAATCCTTCAACCAGAAGTCCCACCTAGACAAGCATCTGGCCCTCCACTCCCCGACCTCCCAGTCCTGTAAAGTCTGCAACAAGACCTTCGCCAACGTCTACCGGCTACAGCGACACATGATCAGCCATGACGAGAGCACGGACCTCCGCAAGTTCAAGTGTCCAGAGTGTGGCAAGGCATTCAAGTTCAAGCATCACCTGAAGGAGCACATCCGTATACACAGTGGTGAGAAGCCGTTCGAGTGCCCAAACTGCCACAAGCGATTCAGCCATTCCGGATCCTACAGTAGTCACATGACCTCCAAGAAATGCTGGGTAGCAGGACCAAAAGCGCACACCACCGAGAGGGTCAACCACAGTGAACCTACCGTCACCTATTCCAAGCCGCTCATCTCCAAGGGAGCCTTCACTCCGCCTGTCCACATGCTGACCAATATGGCTCAAGGACCATTTCCCAGAGTTCCGTACCTACATTTCGATCCAAAAGGAAGCATGCCATTCTTCACTCCTCCACCAGCCTTTGTACCATACACGTATTCCATGATTCGTCACAGCTCACCCATCAATCCAATCATCTCTCTCCAAGCCAAGGCAGAGGCCATGTCTCGTCACAGCACAAGTCCATCTCCCGTCAACTCAGCTCAGATCTCTCCAGATGTTAATTCCAACACTCAGCTTCTTTCCATGCACAAGTTCAAGGATACCACAGCTGTCAAGAAAGAGCCAGATTCCAAAGAAGAGCCTTCCGCTGATTCCAAACGTGAACCCAAAGATGAACCAATGGAGGAAGATAACTCGACTGAGGGAGCAGAGAAGAAAGTAACACCAGAATCAGACGTCACCTCAGATGTGAAGATGGAAGAGAAAGAAGACGCTGAGAAAGAGAAGATTCCCTGTCACTTCTGCAGTGAAGTCTTCAACAGTGCAGTTGATCAGCACCAACATGAGAGGTACCTATGCAAGGCCAACAAGGAACTCCTACAGAGGGCATCCTATAGTGATAGTTCCAGGAATTCTCCATGTAGCTCCATCTCAGACAGCAGTCACCAGGAAACACCCAGCGGCAGCTTTAGTGCTCCAGATACTGACCACGAGGATGACTGCGACTCCAAGAAGTTCAGGATGAGGACCCACATCACAGAGGAACAGCTGGCAGTCCTGAAGGCCCACTACAAAGAGAATCCAAGACCAAGGAAGTTTGAACTCATCCGCATCGGGAAGGAGATCGGAAAGGAGAAGAGGGTTGTGCAAGTTTGGTTCCAAAACATGCGAGCAAGAGATAGACGACAAGGGAAGAATGTGCCATATGTTCCCTCCATGGCCCGCTTTAAGCACCTTGACGGCTCTATGTGGAAGAATCCAACATCTACTCAGTCCAGCTACATCCCTGTGGTTCCCAACACAACACGAGCTCACGGTAAAAAGCTAGACCTTCCCTCCACCAGCAAGTCCGGAGAACAGCCACTAGATCTCAGTGTCCGCAGCAGAACACCCACTCCCGCTCATGCTAGCAGTCCCAGCTCCTCCAACAGCTCCTCAAGTGTTCCTCACAAGTTCCCATCCACCAACTTCAGCGGGAAGCCAGACAGCCCAACAGAGAAGAAAGAAGGCCGGCTCCAGAGTAGTGCTATCTACAAGTATCTGCAGCAGGAGGGAATGATTCCTCGACACTTCTTTGGAGGTTACCTACCACATCCACCCACTTCGATGTTCCAGCCTTTCCTACAGGCGCACATGCTGGCCAACCAAGAAGCTGCCATGAATCATCACTTCGAGCATCGTTCCAAATCTGCTGAACCAATTCCAAAACCAGGCTTCACCGACATCAACAGAAACAGTGCTACTCCAATGGACTCTAAATTCTACTTTGAGCAGAATGGGGACAAGTCTGGTCGTCTGGTGATTGACGAGAGTCAGGACGAGGATTCGAACTGTTCCAGTGACAGCTGTAGTGACAGTGAGCAGTACCGCCACGCCACCCTGAACCTCGCCACCCTCGCGGAGGTCAGCCTGTCCCAGAGAGCCGCCCTGATGGAGAGCTCCCTCAAGTCCAAACGCCTGCGGAAGAAGAGCTGGCGGCAGGTACACAGCTATGTCTGTATCACACGTTTTTAACCTTTTTCCCCGTAGTTAAAAATAACACTGAAGACGTGAGGAAATGAGATTGCGCATTTGTTTTCTGTCCTCCTGAACTCTGCATGTATTTTCCACTGTTTCCCTGATATTAACTGTTCAGTGCTCAGTTTGCACTTATTGTATTCATGAAAGATCCTGTTTTTATTCATTTGCTTTTCATGTGGAATCTCAGTGCTGCACTTCTTCAGTCAAGTAACATCTTCATTGCACTAATTCATTGGTTTGGGAATGGGGCAGAAAAGGGAAAAACAGTAAATTATTTTGCATTTAGATGTTGCTTAAACACTTGTGACACCCTGGACCCTTTTTTCATGACTTAAAAGTTCCCCATGATAAATAAAAATAAAAATCCCCCAAAATGCATGTCACATTTGTTTTATGAAGATCATCATATGAAAAGTTTGTAATTAAATTTCAATATTTGGTTAATAAATCTGATATGATGGTCTTCAATATTAATTATATATTTATTAACTTTTAAATAATGATCATTAATAACTAATGTCATTTGTTAACATTTTACTAAAATGAATTAAAAGATATTAGCTTATTGTATTCACATTGCATGTTATATTATCCCTGTTTTCATTCTGACTTTTTGAAATATTAAAAACAATATTTAATTAAAAAAAAAAAATACTGTATGTGTACTTAAATTGCTCAACTATAAATCACTTTTTTATTTGTAAGAACTTAATTTTTGCTTTATTCAAAAGTATAGGGCTCAAAATTTCTAAATTGTGTTCAAAATTTTACACAAAAACTGAGAAGGTTTACCAATACTCACGACTCACGCACTTACCACATCTATGCTGTGTATTGTATGCATTAAAAATATCAGTATTCATGAATAAGAGTTCATTATTGTTTTCTTCAAGGATTTTAGAATTTAAAGTCCAAATTTTTAAGTACACATACAGTATATTGGATAGGTGAAGATTACAGTGAATCAAAATTAAACTTATTTATTTTCAATGATAAGTGATTAAATCAGGCTTAATAATTTCATTAAATTGTACTTGATAATGAAAATGATTGTTGATGATGATGATATTGACGATGATGATGGTTGTTGACAGATGGAGTCGGAGGAGGCCCAGATGGACCTGGATGACTCCCTGTTAGATGAGGACCACCCCCTCAGGAAGAAGCGCCGGAGCTGGAAGGGCCACAAGATCGACGCCGAGGAGGGGATGTACGCCTGTGACCAGTGTGCTAAAGTCTTCTCTAAGCAGAGCTCCCTAGCCAGACACAAGTACGAACACTCAGGTGAGGAAAATTACTACACTCTACCAACACTTAAAAAATTATAGTATTTATAGAGTATCTACAGAATAATTCAGATGAATCTTATTTAACAAAAATGTTAAGCTACAAAGTCCCTGAAATCAAAAAAAAGAAAAAAAAAGGGAAAAGGAAAACTGCACCACAGTATAAGTCAAGCCAAATAATAAGTTATGAGTATGTGAATGCCTATAGAGCAAGTCTGTGTTTTGACTTGCATGCTTACTTGTTAATTCAGGGGTTAGAATGCAGGAGTCAAATTTCATTTTATGCATCATTGTTGGAGATTGATGAATTCAGACAAACCCTTAATATTTTATTTTATCCTTTAGGTGCCCGACCTTTCACCTGCGAGATCTGTGGCAAGGCCTTCAAACACAAGCACCACCTGACCGAGCACCGCCGGCTCCACTCCGGGGAGAAACCGTTCGAGTGTAAGAAGTGTGGCAAGAGATTCAGTCACTCCGGGTCCTACAGCCAACACATGAACCACCGCTACAAGTACTGCAAACCGCTACGGGAAGACGGCTACTCCTCATCGTAAATCTCAGACACCACAAGTCCTATAGCCAGCACATCAACCACCACTACAACTACCGCAAGCCACCACAAGACTACTGCTGCTCTTCAGCTTAAAGCTTCACAAGGACTATAAACACTAAATAACTTGCTGATGGTGTCCTTTGTAAAGTCAAAGCCGTGGCTTCTTCAGAGTCATTTAGTTTCTTATTAAGTTAACTGGGAGTTATTTCCCTCTAATTGCAGTCCACTCTGTGATCAAAGATTTTAACTGAAAGATTTTGCTGCTATATTGCAAGTAATTTTGCTATGTTGTTAAGTGTTTACGATTGTGACTATTTCCACATTGCTGAGATATTAGGTCTGATGTTTTCTAGCTTGGTTGAATTTGATGTTTCCATTCCACCTTGTTCGTTTATTTGGCTCTTGGCATTCCAGTGAAGTGGAACTGCACTACATTCCTGATTCCATTATAAGCCATCTAGGTACTGAAATTCACAAATAGTTCATCAAAAATTGACATCATTCATTTCTCATCTGTAGTATTGTATAGTCTTCTAAGCTAGTCATGTGAAACCATTTCATTTTGAGGTATATGAACTAAATGCTTGTCCACATTTTACACTACTACTATGGTGTACGTATATTGTTCTTGCAATCTTTCTTCTCCATGACACAGCATTTGAATGGTGTATGTATATTTTGTATGTGATCATGTTTTATACTGACTTTTATTTTTCGTACAAGATTTTTATTTCTCTGAAGAGATAGAGGGGACCAAATGTTTGAGTAATCTGTATATATCTGAAACAAGGCATGTAAGAAGAATTTAAATTGTGTTTCCATGGTGACAATGTTTAGTCCACCAATCAGATTACCTGATACAAATACTCATGTTGTTACTGCTGTTGTGTTAGCTAGTCCCCTGTGTGTTGTGATAGTTCCTAGTCCCAGAATCCATGTGGTATGTTTTGAATTATCTATTTCTGCAGAAATAGAGCTGTTATTACAGATGTTAAGATGTTATTATGCATCTCTGTTATCTGCATCAAGATCAAAGAGTGTTTTTTTTTTAATATTATTGATTTAGTATCTATTGAAGGAAATGAAATACTATTTATTTATTATGTTTTGTACTGGATTAAGTTAACAGAATAATATAATTTATTTTTTCTAAGTCTCTGTAGATGCACAAGGCTGTGCTAGAATACAGAATGTTTCAATACTTATAGTGCTTCCTTTAACATCGACTCACTTGCTTAAGGGTTAGACAGTATAACAATTGTAGGAGATTAATTTTTTTTCCATTGATATTTTTTTCAGTTTCCAAATGCATTAGTTTTCCTCCACTTTATGCAGTGGCACACCAAGTGTATGACATATGGAAACAAGTATAAAATCTTTGTTGGACATTTATTTTCAGTCCATTCATTGAAATCCATACAGATTTTTTGTGTGTATAGTTAAGTTATCAGGTACTATTTATAGTAGATAGTAGAAATGATTGTTACTAACATATTTGTTAAGTGATCTAAGATTGGATCTTCCAATACAATTCACTATCAGTATTTAATGCTCTTCCAGTTTGAGGCCATACATGTTTTACCATAAAGTATTAATGTCATGTTAAACCAATCATCATCGCTGAATGCGTGAGAGAGAATGTGTTTTTGAAGTATGTTAATTAATTTTATCTAAAGATTTAGGCTTTTGTTACACCTTTATACTTGAATTAGATCTAAAATTTATCTTTGGTATATTCTAAGTTTAATGATGAGTTAGATCTGAATTTGATCTGAAAGTTATCTTTAGTAAATTCTTAGTTTAATGATTGAATTCAGTAGCCTGAAAACTAGCAGGAAATTCCATCAAATCAAACAGTTCACAAAATAGATAAACAAAATCCTGAGAGGAAAATGAAATTGCAATCTTAATTTTTATCATGTGCCAAATATTTCATCCTGCATTTTGTGCCAAATTCCAGTAATTTAGGTCATTAGATCTAGACATCGTGAATTCTCCGCTGCCAAAGACCCGAAACTTTGTGTTCTCTGATTTCCACAGACAATCATATTAGTTGTCATTTGTTTACTTTCTTTTTTAACCTTTTATTGTGTTAACCTTTTGGGGCTGATTTTAATTTATTTTTTTTTAATTATTGAAATTGATCAAAATATATTTTTAGCTTTTCTTTTTTATTGAGGAGAGATGATTACATGTGTTTATTGAAAGGCGGGATAAAAGCAATAGAGTGTACAGTATTAGTCGTTGTAATGTAGCACAGTGTCTCTAGTTCAATCTCATTCTATGTGTAGCTATAAATTGATATTTTTCCTTATTGAACTAAGGGAAAATGATTATTTTTACTTTGTAAAATTAACAGGTCAGTGAAAAGGGTGAAAAAATGTGATGTGTACATTTGTATGATAGTGTTGATGTTAAGATTGTATGTCTGTCTGTATCTGATGTAGAGGGTGTTAATCACCTGTCTGTGTGTCTGTGAGTGTGTGTGCGTGTGTCGGGCTTGGCTCTCTTACCCTCAGCATGCCGACATCTTGCCAGTACAGTATTAATTCCTCCTGTGTCTTCCTTGTGCCAGCAATATATCGTGCACTGCACTACGCAAATACGATTTATTTACTCCGTGTAAAAAGTCCCCAGTCCTAGTCAATCTTTTTTTTTGATGAATAGCAATATTTTTTATCTACTGAATGTATCAGTAGTTATGTAGTCCCACCATTGAAAAAATTTTACTATTTAATTGCCTATTGAACCACAGTTAATTTTATTTAGTCGTGCATTAAAACATTATTAAAATGTTCATAGTTGTTTTAACCATGTTATGATTTAGGAAATACTCATATTTCTATTCCAAATGGAATTTTGTTATTGGTGTTTTGACAAAAATACTCAATATTTCACCAGAAACAAAAGCCCTTGAATGTTTACTCAAAGATAGCTTACTTCCCTAGTGCCAAACTGGGTCCACAGCTGCCAATACCCACCAGTATTTATAGATTAGCCTGCTGACTTTTGTTTTTATGTATAGCACAGCTATTGTATCTTGCCATTAGCAGCTGAGCTAGAAATCAAAATTATGTACATAGAATTTAGTCCCCTTGTCTGATGTAATATAATTTCTAGTGTGTCCTGCTGTTTGATTGGATAATTTGAAGTGTGCTATGATGTTTGATTGGTTGATTATTGAGATGATGATTGGTTTATACATGGAATTATTCACCTGACCTCAGTATTACTGTAACTTGCCACACAATGGATTGTTCATACTTTTTTTCTGATTTTTAACATTTGATGATATTATTAGTATTGACATAAGACTGGGGGGAAAATATTTTTGGCAAAGGCTGCATTTTCTTCACCTGATGAGCTCTTCCTAACTTGAAAACTAGCAATGGCATTTTCTTATATACATGTGTGTGTTATTAAAGTTTAATATTGTCAACATTTATATTTAAAACCTAGATGTTTTGTTCATAATAATGATGCAATGCTTGTCAGAAGATAGCTGTACATGTTTTATGTTGTAATTACATATATAAATTGCATGAGATGTAAATATCTGTGTCATTATTTACTTAAGCGTCATTGTCTTCTTATTTTTAAAATTGATTTATTGCATGTTTTACTATAGATTTATTCTTAATGTGTATAGTTTATTGTGAAATAAACAAAGGGAGTTAACTCTAGTCATAAGATGTATAAATAATGCCAGCAATATTGAATATTCAAACACTAAAGTGTAATGCTTGCCTGTTTGAGATGTGTCATAATTATATTTATTTTAATATGTGCTTTTTATGATGAAACTTTTTTTTTAATGGTTTTATG